TGCTCTGCATCATGCTCATCCCACCCCAAAATGTGCCAGTGGGTTGGGATACATGGAAGGACATTGCTTTAAACTAATGCAGTCCAGGAAGTGGGGAGAGGACTCTGTTGAACCTGGCTTATGGTATTCTCCTCAGCCTGGTTGTTTTACAGCTGCAAAACTTGGGCTGCCCAGCTCAATTCCATGGAGGCGGTGATTTTGCCATTGAATGAGGCCAGGCCTGCCTTTCATCCTCTGAGCTGATTCTTCCTTCTCCTGCCCCTTCCAGGTCATCACGCTGGAGGGCTGGGTGGACATCATGTACTTCGTCATGGACGCACACTCCTTCTACAATTTCATCTACTTCATCCTCCTGATCATTGTGAGTGATCTTTCATCCCTCCCCGAGGATGGCATGCATTTTGCTCAGGCATATGGGGTGTGAGTGGGGGGACAGATGGGCAGGGAGGGGTTTGGATATGGTGGTCAGCTCTGTCTGGGGGAGGTGGAAACCAGCTTGGTGCAAGACTTACAGCTTAAGATGCGCTCTCTGTTATAAAGGAGAAATGTGTTAATGCCTCTCATCTGAAGGGGTAAATTTCTGCTGCAGTTATACAAGGAGCAGCATTTTGCTGGGGAAATGAGGGGAGGAAAGTTTTGTTCTCTTGATCTATGCTGGGCTTACTTCTTCCTACAGTGTAATAGGTCACCCTCGTCATCCTCCCTTCTGCTTTTGCCATAGGTCCCTCGTCTTCTGCTTGCATTTTAAATAAAAAGAACAAAACCTTTAAAGAGTGACCGACTGCTTTGCTGGTGAAGGGTGCCAAATTTTTTGTGTTCTTCCGGTATAATAATCTTCCAAATTCACTCCCTTCTCGACCAAAAAACTCCCCATTGTAACTGTGTGAAAAGTCCAGAGCCCTCTCTGCTCAAAGGTGGCTGAACCCCAGTCCCAACTTTCCAAAAGGTTGGTCTAGCTCAGCCTCCCATGTCTCATGCCATCCCATTAAGGGTGGCAACTGGGAGAGTGTCTTCAATATGGTCTCCAGCCTACTAGGCCATGGACTAGTAGATCCTGGCATATCAGCCATCAAACACTACTGTGATGATTTATGGTCATTACCAGCTCAGGGCTGCAGCTGAACCAGTGGTGTGGAAGTAAGAGGTTGTTTCCCTGACTCATCTAGATACTTCTTTTCATGAACAGTGATAGTTTTTCCTGACCTGCAAAATGTCCTTTGTGAATCCAAGAGTATGGAGAATAAAGGAGAAAGAAAGAGCATTTTGCCATGTGCTGAACTGGGAGCATTGATAGCATGTGGCCAGGTTTTCTAATAGGTTAACAGAGACTGGAGTAAATCCAGTTGTTTATAATTCGGGCTGAATAGTGCTGGGAACCAATTGAAAGCAGAACCTAATGGTATCTTAAATTGGAATAAAATATCACGTTCTAGGAGAGAGGCAGCTGATGTTCCTGGGTAACAATATCCCCACAAAGCCAGTTAACAAAGAAGGGGATCTGTTCACAAGCCACCCACATGCTGCCAGGAAAAACACTCCTATCAGTAGGGCTCAGTGTATTCATCCTAATGCCACTAATTGTGGTAATTACAAGTGCTGAGACAGAAAAACAAGATCTTAAAAAAGCAAAATCTTTTTGTCAAAATAAATCTTCCCTCCTCTTTGATCTATGGCGTCATCCCTGGAGCCCTGGCGTGGGAGTCCCCCGGGTGTGGATTCTGAGAGGCGGTACCCAGCAAAATGAGTCAGCGGGAGTGTGATCTTTCAGCTTTGCTGATATATCCGTCCTTGCCCCGCTTTGCTGAGAGATTCATCTTTGCCTCTTGTGCATCAGCTTCAGTCGTGTCCTGTCTCCATGCTCTGACGTGTGTGCAAACGCTCCTAGTCAACACACCCTGCTCCAGGGGCGGGCAATTATTTTGGGCAGAGGGCCGCTTACTGAGTTTTGGCAAGCCATTGAGGGCCGCATGACAGGCAGCCCAGGGCAGATAAATATTAATTTTCTAAATTTTTTAGAGGCCTCACGGGCCGGATAGAATGGCCTGGCGGGCCGCATCTGGCCCCCGGGCCGCATTTTGCCCACCCCTGCCCTACTCTGTGTCCTTGCACTGGCTTCCCTCGCCTCCGCTTTGCCCTCACCCCCAACCCACACACACACATCTGTTTATCCACCTGTCCCTTCTCTCTATATTTTTTGAGCTCTCTGGGACAGGGGTTGTCTGTGTGATGCTGGTTTTCCCATGGACAAGCGGGCTAGGTTCTTGATGCCCGCTTTGCTTTACATGCTTAGAAGCTCCTGCCTCTGCCTCTCTCTGGGACTGATAGCATGTTTTGTTCCCCTTTAGGTGGGGTCCTTCTTCATGATCAACCTCTGCTTAGTGGTCATAGCAACCCAATTCTCAGAAACCAAGCAGCGGGAGAGTCAGCTGATGAAGGAGCAGCGGGTCCGTTACTTGTCCAATGCCAGCACGCTGGCCAGTTTTTCTGAGCCAGGGAGCTGCTATGATGAACTTCTCAAATATTTGGTTTATGTTACCCAGAAGGCCAGCAAACAGCTGGTTGAAGCTTATAGAGCAGCAGGGTTGAAAATGGGGCTCCTCTCCAGCCCTGGGAATAAGAACGGGACTGATAGGCAGCCCTACAAACATCGTCAAAGGAAAAGATCATCTGTGCACCATCTAATTCACCATCACCATCACCACCACCATCACTATCACATGGGCAATGGGAACCTGCAGGCACCACGTGCCAGCCCTGAGATCAGTGATGTGGAAACCAGTTCCCTCCACAATAGTACCAACAGGCTAATGCTTCCTCCCTCAGCACCTAATCTCCATGGTGCTTCCAGCAACACAGAATCAGTCCACAGCATCTACCATGCCGATTGCCACTTTGAGCCAATCCGTTGCAGGTCATCCCTCCCTCAGCCTGGCCTCAGCTTACCGAGCCCAGAGGGGCTCCCCAAGAGTATGGTTGGCAGGAAAGTCTACCCCACCGTACACCCCAGTACCTCCCATGAGATGCTGAAGGAGAAAAGCTTAGGAGAACTGGCAGCTAACCCTGGGGCTGGCACGCTAACAAACCTCAACATACCTCCTGGGCCATACAGCACCATGCACAAGCTCCTGGAGAACCAGAGCACCGGTGAGTGTTGGGACTGAGGATCAGCCACTGATTGTGTTTCTGGAGTAAGAGAGAAGTCCTAATTTTTTTCTTTCCACTGAATCTTTCCAGGATTCTTTTCAGTCCACGTTACTGATAAAGGAGATGGCTTTCCGGGTAAGGCCAGTCAGCATCTTACAGTCCACCGAATGCACCCAAGGAAACTTGAGTGGTTATGCTGGCTGCACTCTCCACCGTTTGGTGCTCAGGTCCCTCTAGGTACCGACATGAATCCCTGATTCTCTAGTACCCAAGTGCCTCACATACCACAAAGACTTTATCTTCATAACACGCCTTTGAATGTTAGTCCCATTTTACAGAAGTGTAGAGAAATTAAATGTCAGATTTTTAGAGCTTCTGACCATCTACATGTCTAATGCAAGGCAATGGCAAATGCAGAGGTGCTTGGTCTTGAAAATCAGGCCCTAGCTGAGAATCCTGTAGGCAGTCTGTGGCAGAGCCTGACATCAAATCCAGGTTTCCCAAATCCCGGGGTCATACCTATGTCATAAGACATTCCTTCTCCCTCCCCATCCCAAGGATGCAGAGCACACCCAGATCTGTTCAGATTCTCTCAACTCCAACCTCTGGAAGCCTTTCTAGACCCATCTTTTATAAGAGATGAGTGCTAGGTCCAACATCAGTCCCAAGCAGAAACACTTAGTTCACCCTTCCAGCACATATGCTTGAACCAGATGTAGCTGGCCAGTGATTCCACAATCTCACAAGAGAGAACTGACTTAGGCTTTAAAACTGATTTCGGGATGAGGTTGGAAGGCACTGGGTTTTTAGTTAAACTAGTTCGTGGGCTTGTGGATCAGTCAAGAGCACACTTTTGCAACACCCTCCCTCCCTGCCACCTGCAGCCAGACGGCATTTGTAAGAGAATATCCTGTTCAGATCGTGAACCAAGGGGACCATCTGTCAGCTGGGAGCTGCCATTGTGCCGAGCGATTTGAGTTGTGTGCTTAGGGGAAAGCTGGTAATTTTGAAGTATCAGCAAACAGCAGGAGTATGAAAGCAGCTTGTTGGCTGCTGCACGCTCTCTAATTACAACGCCTAACACACCAGGTGCTGGAGGAGCTGATTGCTTTCTGTTAGCCTTAATGGCCAAAGGTATAATGAGGTGGTTAGGAATCCTTGGCTGGTGAATATGTCTGACTGTGGGCAACAGAAATCCTCTTAGTATCTAAAGGCAAGAAACATGGGTTTGCATGATCTTGTTTAACCCACTGCAGCAGCTTGGGGCACGCAGAATGGGGGAATTCAAAGGCACTGGTATCTAATAGAAGATATTTCTTTTTATTGGAAGGCCCTCAGGCCAGGGAACATGCTGTATTATTAATTTGCCTTGGGATCACTAGGTGTTAGGTCCTTTCTCAACACCTGAGGAAGACAATTCCTGCTCTGAGGAGCAAACAGCCCCAGACCAGGAGAGTAGACAGAGGCTGGCTTGTGCGTTTGGTAAGTGGCTGAGAATTAACACTATTGCTACTAGAAAACAGAGCAAAATGTTCCAGGAGGGGGGGAGGAAACTGAGCAGCCACTGAGGTCGATAAGAAATTTCCAGCCTGTGCATGGTTTAAGGGAGCAGAACATATAACTTCCCTATGGCGTACATGAAGGCCCCCCCCCCCCCCCCCCCCCCCCAGCAGGGAGAGAGAGATTGCAGAAGGATCTGGATAGGTTACAGGGGTGGGCAGACAGGAACAGGATGCGTTTCAATACGGACAAGTGCAGGGTGCTGCACTTGGGTAGTAGGAACCAGCAGCACACTTATACGATGGGGAACTCCCTACTTGAGAGCACGGAGGCGGAAAGGGATCTTGGTGTCATTATTGACTCCAAGATGAACATGGGCCGACAATGCGAGGTCATGGTTGGCAGGGCTAACCGGACCTTGTCGTGCATCCACAGGTGCATCTCGAGTAGAGCCAGGGAGGTGATCCTCCCCCTCTATGCGACGCTGGTCAGGCCGCAGCTGGAGTACTGTGTCCAGTTCTGTGCGCCTCATTTCAGGAGGGATGTGGACAACATGGAGAGGGTCCAGAGGAGGGCCACCCGCATGATCCGGGGACAACAGGGCAGACCCTACAGTGAGAGACTGCGGGCCCTGAACCTATTCAGCCTCCACAAGAGAAGGCTGAGGGGGGACCTGGTGACCGTCTATAAACTCACTAGGGGGAACCAGAAGGGTTTGGGGGAGACGCTGTTTCCCCTAGCCCCCGCTGGCATAACAAGGAGTAATGGGCACAAGTTGATGGAGAGGAGGTACAGATTGGACATCCGAAAAAACTACTTCACAGTTAGGGCGGCTAGGAGCTGGAACCAACTTCCAAGGGAGGTGGTGCTGGCCCCTACCCTGGGGATCTTTAAGAAGAGGCTGGATACTTACCTGGCTGGACTCATTTGAGTCCCGTTTTTGTTTTTAGGGTGAGTGGTTTTTTTTTGTTTTTTTTTTGGGTTGTTCTCCCGCCCTGGCGGGGGGTCGGGCTAGAAGATCTATTAGGTCCCTTCCGACCCTGAAACTATGAAACTATGAAACTATGAAGGCTTCCAGCACGGAGACGCAGCCGACCGCTGTCAGCCTTTACCCTGAGGAGCTAGATGGCATTTGTCGCATAAAATAAGAGGAATGAGGAGTTCCCTTCATTTGACCCCTTAGCTTCCCTGGCCCTGCATCCAGGGAGCATGTACATCTCACCTTGGCTTGTTCCCGTTTCAGGTGCCTGTCAGAGTTCTTGCAAGATTACGAGCCAGTGTGGGAAACTGGACAGTGGTTCCTGCAACCCAGACAGCTGCCCCTACTGCATCAAGACTCTGGCTAATGACCCGGAGCTCATGGACAACGAGCCGGTGGACTCGGACAGTGAGGGGGTGTATGAATTCACTCAGGACGCCCACTACAGTGACCAGCGGGACCCTCAGCGAGGGGAAATCAGGGGCAAGAAAATGAGCCGGTTCTTGGTGTTCTGGAACATAGTGTGCGAAACGTTCAGGAAGATTGTGGACAGCAAGTACTTTGGGCGCGGGATCATGATCGCCATCCTGATCAACACCCTCAGCATGGGGATTGAGTACCACGAGCAGGTAAGCACCACTGGACAGTTCATTGTGCAACCTCTTGCTTGCGTAGCCCAGTTGATGGCATTACATGCCTTAAGCAACATGAGTCGTGTTGATCTCTGCATAGTTTCTTGCTCTCCCCGGCTTGATTTTTATTGTCTGTTGGTACCTGAAGCTAAGATGAGCTACAGGGCAACCAACGCAATGCACTACCGGGAATGGCTTCCTTTCTCTGCTAGTTTTGGGGCCCCGGTTTGGTGAGCGGGCTGCAGGGCCTTTTACCTATGCATTGCATCCAACCCAGGCTGATAGGTTTGAATGTTGTTTCCCTGGGAGGGTTGTTTGGGAGCCTGTCTGAAGTGAGTTTGATGGGAATCAGTCCAGTTCCCAATGAGCAGGTGTCCTCCTCGCAAAAAGAAATTGGCACACGGCAGAGCTCTTCTTGGCAGCTTCAGCTAAAAGGCTGCATATTTAATGGGCCGCGGAGACTGAACTCTCCTCCCACCCTTCGTGATGGCTTCTCCAGGTCAGCTCCATTGGCAGGACAGCACGGGGAACTTGCCTGCAGCCACTTTGGCTGTAACTAGTATTTGTACAAAGAGAAGCCTTGGCCTGTCTGTCAGGCAGCATTCACAGGCACTAATCGCCTTTTGTTGGGAACAGGCATGGATGCACTTTGACCTATGCTTTCTCTAAAATCTCCAGTTATCTATAGGCAAAGGCAGACTTGGTAGTAGCTGAAACCCAGGGCACCCCTCATTTGCTTGTCAGATCCACTTGGGGAATGTAGCTTTTTGTCCATGACAGCTCTTCATGTAATGAGCATCCCGTTCAACTGGACAGGGCAAAAAGCCAGGGTCAACGTAAAGCTAGAGAAGTGCCCAAGCTGTCCAGTGCAAACCACCTCAGAAGGCTGGAGAGCTGGGATCTGAGCTGGGTTCAGGCCCCAGTTGGTATCAACGCTGGCAGTAGCAGCAGAGAGGCCTGAAGATGCTCCCATTGTCAGGTCCGTCGTGCCTACACCATCAAGGGACCATGGTAGGGGATGCCTCAGTGAAGCGCGCATTGTCTGTCCCATGCGTGCTCCACCCCGAAATACATGTTGCATTATCTACCTTTTGTGCGATACTGGGCACGAGCATGCCCGAGACGGTGAGCCTTTTGGCAGGTGCTCCACATTGCACTAAGGATCACTACTTTACATCTCTTTCGGAGCAAACGCGCGTGGATCGGACGTACTGTGCAGAGCTCCCTAGCCTGGCGCTTTAATGGTGCAGACAAGCCCTCCTTTCCTTTAGCACAGAACTTCGGTTCCCACTTCTGTCAGTCTTGACACTTATCTTGAGTGCTGAATTCACTTGGGAAAGCAAAGCAAAGCAAACCAAAATCTCATCGCACACCCTCCCAGGCAGCTGTACTTTCAGAGGCCAGTTACCTCCCACAAGTTGGTAGTTTTTTTAAATGGCTTCAGACAGAGCCAGAACCTAAAGACAGTGAGGACACATGGAAGGGACTCAGCCTCCGCCATTTGCACAGCAGAGCATGAATGAAAGGCCTGCTGCTAAGTGCAGAGATTTCAGTACCGCATTGGTTTTGCACCTGAATCACCCTAGAATCGGCCCACGTTGGCCCAGGACTGGTTGGGGTTTGACTTGTCTCATTTGCCTGAGTTGATCGTTGGTAAATGGGGGTTGTTTGTGAACTCTCTGGATGCTGACGTTCTCTTACGTGCTCCCTCACCGTCAGTGGCAAGGTGAGTTATTCCCATCCACTCCCTGCCAACGTGACTTAGCCCTTTCACAAAGAGATCACCTTTAAGGCTCAGTGAATAATTGGTTCCTGGCTCCTCTAGTGAGGTGGTCAACAAGAGGGACCAATTTTACTGTGTAATTTGCTTTGGTTTTGTATAGCAAGCTCATCAGTGTTGCCCAAGGCCAGGAGACTTTGAGGTCAATGCAGCTGGAAGCACATAAGACTGTTTTATTGCTGATCCCCTGGAGAGGATGTAACAAATGATGCTCTGCCTCCCCAGTGGATCCTGCAAACCCAGAGAACATGTATTTCAGTGCCTCTAGCCATCTGCCCCTTTCACCTCAGTCCTTGAAGGCCAGAAACTGCCTCTGCCCCAGCCTATAATACACGTACCACCTCACAGACCTTTCTCCCACGGTAGTTTTTTCAAAGAGAATTTGCAGTCTCGTTCTGCTTTTTAAAACCTCTCCATAAGAACGTCAAGGTTTTGATTTTCCAACGGGGCCTTCCTTCAGTCTGTGTTTTCCTTGACAGTTTTCTGACTGCAAACAGTCCCACACCTGGTTTTTATATAACACTGAGTTAAGCATCTGATTGCACTTTTGAAAATTTAGCTGCGGATATATTACTGACGTGTACGTGTGCGAGGACGTGATTATTTGGTTTTGGCTGGCATGTTCTAGGCTGCATTTTGGTGAAAGGGCACAGATGCTGTGTGCTTACATTTTTGCAAAACCCTCGTGGCCGCAGATCTTTCATTGGACAAATTGATAGAGGAGCACGCTGTAGCAAACGGCCCTCGTCTGATGGGGGATTAGGAAACATGTTCGGAGGGAGAGGTCCTTTTCACGTATTACTCGGGGAAACTTCCAGCTTCCCACCCCAGGCACAATGCTGAGAGCCAACATTTTCTGGGAACTCCTTTGCATTTCAAGTCATTGTTGTTGCTTTCTTTCTTTTCCTATCACATTTTTGTATTTGTATGGTCATTTGCAGTTGGCTGCAGAAGCAGTTTCTTCTGCTGTTTATAGCTCCCAGTGTCAGCATAATGCTTGCAAACCAAATGGTGCCGACAGAATCCCGGATTCCAACGTCGTCCTGTAGTATTAATGCCTCAGTGACTAAGCAGTAGGGAGTCGCGGACCCACTCGGTGTGCTAAATGTGTCCCTTCAAGCCAGCACATTGTCTGTGAACTCCTAATACAATGTGGCTGGTTAACCTTCATTTTCAGTATGCATTAAACAGAGATGCACTCTGAAGTCCTACAGGTAGGATCAGTCAGCGGCTGTCTCGCTTTTGTTCGGTGACCTTCCTGGAAAATGTCTTTATAGCGGAGTGAGAAGGGGACTGATTGCATTACAGACTCATCATTTGTTTTTATGATATCTAGATGGTCTTTTTATGGGGACCTGGGAGCAAAGCAGGAAGCGAATGCAAAGTTCATATTCCCAAAGGTAAAGGCAGAACTACAGCCTCATCTATGCATCTCACCTCTTTGTTTTAGTTTAGTCAACTGCAAAACATCCAAGGGAAGATTTCCAAAGGTTGGTGCCCACGAGGAGTTGCACCTGCAGCATTTACCCAGGCAGTTGCCTTGTGTGTGTTTGCCCAAAACCTGTTCACACTCACACAAGCTTCTCCCCTTCCTTTGGAAAATTTCTCTTGAAAGTTCCATAATCCCTGCATGTATGGGTTCGTTTCCAGTGCAGCTGGAGATGCTGTTAATCCAAATGATGGACCGCTGGCCCTGAGAAAGAGGAGGCTCTGGGAAAGCTATTTCTGCTACAGCCATACACGAAAAGCTCCCTCATTGAGACTATATTGGCCTGGCAGCAGCATGGGTATGTCATGTACGGTCAAGACTGTCCTAGTGCCAGCTTGTTCCTTCCCAGGCATGCCACGAGGAAGCCTCTGCTACATGCTCTTCTTCCCTTTTCTAGCTATTTAAAAGCAATTATTTCAAGGTCTTGCCAGCCCTGACGCACTGACTCTCGGGACACACCACGGTAAGATTTCAGACCGACTAAGATGCAAACCCTGTTGGAGGGTAGAGGGGACCCTAAGGTTGGTGCAAGGGGCTGCGGGGAATGAATTGAAGTTGGCCGGGCATGGTGGGTGGCAGCTTCTCTTGACAGCTTTTGGAAACTACTACCGTTCCAAATTCCTTTCTTCCAGGCACTTGGAAAGAATAGGGAATCTTGTTTTTATTAGTTCATCCGCTTAAAGTGGCGGCAGAGAGCAAAGAGGTGTTTTTCTATAAACTCCAGAGGCTTATAGTCTGCAGTTTCATAATCTGACAGTTATGAGACTGGGAATTAGGACAACGAAGTGCTGGCCCACGTCTTTCTGCAGAGATTATAAACAGTGAAACATGTGATTCTTTTTTTTTTTTTTTTTTTCCTTTTCCTTCTCCAAGTGAGATTTAGAGCCTTGCCTGGAAATACAAGTATTCAGCCTCACCAAATTTATCTTCATTGGCTGGTTGTTTGAAAAGAAGTGAGGGGGCTTTAAGAGTACTTGACTTCATGAGTTTCTATATTAAGATCTCTGCTTATTTAATGAATATTTACAGCCTGGGCTTCTCACACCACATGGGCCTGGGTGAGCCAGGCTATATTAGGCTAAATATTTTCAGGTTTTATTTTATGGCGCTGTGTCAAAATGCTTGCATCCTTAGTGGCATCTAATCAGAGAAAGGGCACAGTAGCTATGAAGGTGATTAGAGACCAAGGATTGCTCAGTGATTCAGGCAATAGCCTGGAACTTGGAAGCCACCGACTCGGTTTCCTTTCAGCTTAACTTTGGGTAAGTCACTTTAGTCTCTGCGTCTCATTGTCCCACGTGTAATATGGGGATTGTGCATGAAGGATTATGAGGTCCTAACCACATGGTCCTAGTGATATGTAAATCCCTAGCTTAAACAGGCCCACACAGGAGTGATCTTACAACTGCTGTCCCTATCCAAAGCCCTGGACGCTGTGTATCAGGCCATACATCATTTGGCCTGATGTTTTCAAAGCTGCCAAAGAGGTTTTGTCTCAGAATTAAATGAGAGGCGAGGTGGCTTCACAAAGCCCACCCGTGATCTGTTGTTGTTCGTCTTTCTGCAGGTCCCCGAGGGCCAGGCAGATCCGGGCCCCGTTGTCTGGGATCTGTAGGTGCACATAGCAAGAGACAGCCCTTGCTCTGAAGAACTTATATATTTAGGGCAGGGACCTTTCATCCCCCACATCCTGTCTGCAGACATCCCTGTGCACCTACAGAGCTCTTG